GCCAAGAAGAACGGTCATGCTCTTATTCCTCCCGCGGTTCGATGCTCCGGAGTGGAACGGCGTCTAATCGTGAGCAGCAACCTATCGATTTCCACGGAAACGACATTCGAAGTGTGAAAGTTGTTTTCACATTCGCGCACACGCGCGCGCCGAACGTTCCTTTCCGCGCGGCGAGCCCGCCGCGCCGCCCGGTCGAAAATCGTAACGAGACCGCCCGCGATTTCGGGGTGCTGTCAGCTGTAGAATTTTTCCTAATGTTTCCATCAGTCCGAACGTTTCACCGCCGCACAGTTGCAGTCGTCGCGTGTGTATTTATCACGCGTGCGCGAGAGATAAAAACCGAATGAAATACGGACTTGTCCTGTTTCGATTAGAGTGAGATATCGAGACGAAATTATTTTGCACCGGACGCGATCGCGCATTGCCTTCGAAATTTCATTCGCTCGCTTGTGCATGCGAACGATGCGGCGGATATAAATCGCGATGTAAAATTTCCTGCGTATCCCCACCGGGGGATTCGTCTCCGTCCCGCGCGCACGGGAGAGACGAGAAATCTCCCGAGAAGCATGCCCGATGCACGTAATTGAAACAGAGACGTTAACGTGACGGTGTAACGTAATTTCGCAGGGTACACCTTCCGCGGAGAGAAGGCGGGGACAATAACTGTTTCTTTCCGCACCCACTTTCGCAGGGACGCGCATTGATCACTGCGGCGTGCAACGTCATGCGAGCATCGGTCGTGAAACTCGACACATTGCGGAGCCAAAGGACGTCGTCTCGGTTTACAATGTCGCGTCGGTCGATACGACTGCCACGAAAAAAAAGTTCATTGTCTCTTCTAATTCGCCTTATATCGCCCTCGCGTTAATTTCGCCCCGACGTCTCGGCAGCAGGGAGGAAGGAGAGCGAGGCAAGGGGGGAGGGAACACAGGACGAAAATAATTGTCAAACATCGCGCGATACAGGCAGACACGTCAAACGGTCCGTGAATTTAATCAAATTAAAAGCCGGTCACTTGACGTAATCACCAGCGGGCTACCCTTGGCCGAGGTCGTGACCTCGTTCAGGTCTAGCCGCCGAGTCCTCGGCTAGGACACGCGAAGTCCATCATGCCGCGGCGTCAGCGCGTAATCAGCCGGTGCCTCATATGCGATTCCGTCGTTTATGTCATTAGCGACAAGGGTGCAATCAATGACGCCCGGCGAGACGAGCACGTCTCGGTCGGCGGGAGAAGACTGCAAACGAGACTACTAACGAGAAAATCCAGCGGGTCCTGCGGACGCAGTTTTGCAACCTCGATCAAAGCTTCCGTCAAAGTCGGGAGGACGTGCGTCGCGAGGTAATGCCGCAGCGGCTCCGCCAGGACGCAAAGCCTCTCCTCCTCCTCCTGCTTCAACTTCTCCGTCAGTCTCTCCTGGAAAAACGAGTCTTGTGTTGACTCGCGTTTTGACTATAGTATAATTCTATATATGTGCTTTTATGCATATACAGGGTGGCCCATATAACTCTTAACAGCTGAATATTTCGGAAACTATTTGTCAAATCAAAAAGTTGTTCATGAGAATGTTTTATGTGTTCGAGGGGCCTTTCTAACTACGTAAATATTAAGTTACTCCCTGCCCCCTTTAAAGGGGGGCAGGCTGTAACTTTGCATTTTAAAACGGGACCCGCTATAAAATATTCGATGGTTGGGTTCTACGGTAAAAAGACAAGTACATTTTGTTCAAAACATCTTTTTGTCTGATATTTCTGTTAAAAGATATGACGGTGTAAAGTTTTGAAGCTACAGGAAACGTAAAAGCGTCGCGTATCCTTGTCTTTCGTCGGTGATTCAAACAAACATTCATACATTCATTGAGGTCAATTCAACTATTCATGAAAATCTTGTCAGTTGTATGTTGCTATTCAAAAAGTTAGCATCGTGAAAATCATAGCTATCACTATGTTTGGAATAAGAAGTAAATATGTTATTAGTATTAGATGAATGCCAAAAGAATTATCGGCATGCAGCAGTAATGTTTTTTGAACGTTATGGGATTAAAAAATCGCACGTGTCATTTTTTAATGAAGAAAAACGGCTTCGTGAATATGGTAAATTGCGTACAACTCACAATAAAAAAAATGACATTAAAAAATGACACGTGCGATTTTTTAATCCCATAACTTTCAAAAAACATTACTGCTGCAGGCCGATAATTCTTTTGGCATTCATCTAATACTAATAACACATTCACTTCTATATCAAACATAGTGATAGCTATGATTTTCACGGTGCTAACTTTTTGAATAGCAACATACAACTGACAAGATTTTCATGAATAGTTAAGTTAACCTCAAGGAATGTATGAATGTTTGTTTTCACCGACGTCTGAATCACCGACGAAAGATAAGGATACGCGACGCTTTTACGTTTCCTGTAGCTTCGAAACTTTACACCGTCATATCTTTTAACAGAAAATCGACAAAAAATGTTTGAACAAAATGTACTTTCTTTTTACCGTAGAACCCAACCATCAATTTTTATAGGGGTCGTTTGTAAATTACGAAGTTACCCCCTGCCCCCCTCTTAAGGAGTAACTTAATATTTAGTAGTTAGGAAAAGCCCTCGAACAATAAAACTTCTCATAACAACTTTTTGATTTGACAAAAGTTTCCGAAAATTCAGCTGTTAAGAGTTATAGTGGGCCACCCTGTATATGCATAAAAGCACATATATAGAATAGTATACATAGTCAAAACGCGATTCAACACAAGACTCGTTTTTCCAGAGAGAGACTGACGGAGAAGTTGAAGCAGGAGGAGGAGGAGAGGCTTTGCTCCTGGCGAGCCGTGCGCATTACCTCGCGACGCACGTTCCTCCACGACTTTGACGGAAGCTTTGATCGAGGTTTTGCCAAAACTGCGTCCGCAGGACCCGCTGGATTTTCGCGTTAGTAGTCTCAGTTTGCAGCTTCTCTCGCCGACCAGACGTGCTCGCTCTCGCCGGGCGTCATTGATTGCACCCTTGTCCGCTAATGACATAAACGACGGAATCGCATATTGCAACCCGGCTGATTACGCGCTGACGCCGCGGCACATGATGGACTTCGCGATGTCCTAGCCGAGGACTCGGGCGGCTAGACCTGAACGAGGTCCCACGGACTCGGCAACAAGGGATAGCCCGCTGGTGATTACGTCAAGTGACCGGCTTTTAATTGCATAAATTCACGGACCGTTGAGCTGTCTGCCTGTATCGCGCGATGTTTGGGACAATTATTTTCTCGTTCCTGTTTCCCCTCCCCCTTGCCTCGCTCTCCTTCCTCCCTGCTGCCGGGGCGTCGGGGCGAAATTAACGCGGGCGAAAAGGCAATTAGAGAGACAATGAACTTTTTTTTCGGGCAGTCGTTCGACCGACGCGAAACCAATTGTGTAAACCGAGACGGAATCGTCCTTTGCTCCGCAATTGTGTCGAGTTTACGACGCCGATGCTCGCATGGAGTTTGCACGCCGCAGTGATCAATGCGCGTCCCTGCGAAAGTGGGTGCGGAAAGAAACAGTTATTGTCCCCGCCTTCTCTCCGCGGAAGGTGTACCCTGCGAAATTACGTTACACCGTCACGTTAACGTCTCTGTTTCAATTACGTGCATCGGGCATGCTTCTCGGGAGATTTCTCGTCTCTCCCGTGCGCGCGGGACGGAGACGAATCCCCCGGTGGGGATACGCAGGAAATTTTACATCGCGATTTATATCCGCCGCATCGTTCGCATGCACAAGCGAGCGAATGAAATTTCGAAGGCAATGCGCGATCGCGTCCGGTGCAAAATAATTTCGTCTCGATATCTCACTCTAATCGAAACAGGACAAGTCCGTATTTCATTCGGTTTTTATCTCTCGCGCACGCGTGATAAATACACACGCGACGACTGCAACTGTGCGGCGGTGAAACGTTCGGACTGATGGAAACATTAGGAAAAATTCTACAGCTGACAGCACCCCGAAATCGCGGGCGGTCTCGTTACGATTTTCGACCGGCGCGGCGCGGCGGGCTCGCCGCGCGGAAAGGAACGTTCGGCGCGCGCGTGTGCGCGAATGTGAAAACAACTTTCACACTTCGAATGTCGTTTCCGTGGAAATCGATAGGTTGCTGCTCACGATTAGACGCCGTTCCACTCCGGAGCATCGAACCGCGGGAGGAATAAGAGCATGACCGTTCTCTTGGCTCTCTGTCGATCATATCGAGAGAGAGAGAGAGAGAGAGAGAGAGAGAGAGAGAGAGAGAGAGAGAGAGACCTTCTATCTGTAATTTCGTCATTTCGAGCTTCGCTGCTTTCTTTCGCTCCGCTATTACGGGGAAACGCAAAGGGCAGAGGCAATTTTTTTCACTATCGGCTTCAGCAATCGTTTTAATTCGTTCTCTGTTATTCGCGGGTCGATCCGCTCGGAAATCACCGACGCATTTCGAGCGGTGTTTGAAGACGGTGCCTTCGCAATGTGAATTTAACGCATATTTCGCGTCACACAGCGCGAATATCCGGTCGTTTGCGCGCGAGTCAAACGCGCGAGTACTTTTCGAGTAACATTCGGCGATGTCGGAATTCAAAATTTCGTACGACAAATTCGTTCCACGACAGTTTTGAGGGGAAATCCTGAGTTGCTAATAATCCCAGTTGCCTTTTGACATCGCGATAAAGCTATTTGGCGACGCCAAAGCTCGAAACACTGCGTAACCAACTTTGCAGCCCCTTTGCGAAAGATCATATTGCATTTCCCGACCCGCATCTCTATATTTTTTGTTTTTCATCTCCTGTTTAATCTCATAATTGCACGTGCACCGATCCGAAAGTACACGCGGTTTTAACAGCGGGTGGATAATACTTCGCAACGGACGTTTGTTGCGGCAATCCCTCACGAGCGTATCCGCGCGTTTTCACTTCGGCAAAATATTTTTCTTTTTGCATCGTTTGTTTTTCGCATCGATGTTTGTCTCGCTAAAATTCGCGGCGACTCTCTCTCTCTCTCTCTCTCTCTCTGTCTCACGTTGCAGAGAAATCGTTTCTTAGATGTGTATGTTAGAAACTTTACAGAGGCAATGAGGCAAGGAAGGAAAAACACGAAGAGAGACAAGAAAGAGAGGGAGAAAGGGAGGGGGGAGGCGAGGGAAGGGAAGGAAGGGGAAGATAAAGTCGATGGAGTGAATTCGCGTTGCCTACGACCGCGTTTCCCAACGGGTTCGACAAAATTGATATTTCATGCTCCTGTAGCAACATATGTCTGACCTTCGACCTTCATTATTTAAAAGGCAATCAATTTGGGCGAATGTGCATTCTCTCGCGGTATACGCAGCCGCAGCCGCAGCCGTGAGCCGAGAGAGCCAACGTGCAAACACGCCGGCAACATACGCACCCTCGCGGAGTTACACCGCTCCCCGAAGGAGACGCGTTTACGACTGCACCAACCCTCGTCCCTTTCAATGCCGCGAACGCGAATTCAATGAAGGGAATCGAGCCGCTCGCGCGCCTTCCACGACAATTCACTGCCGCGACAATGAGCCGCGGCTTCAAAAGTCAAACGGTCTCACGTCCTTCGCTGCGCCTCCTCCTCGCAGACACGACGTCGTCCATAAATAAATAGACGGTGCAGGCGGTGCGGACGGAGAGAGAGCTTGTCATACAAAAAGTATACACGATATCCAAGCGGCCCCCGCTTTTTGCATCGAAAATCTACGGGACGATGAACCGGACTGTCGGGGCTGCCTGCCTGCCTGCCTGCCTAAAAGTTTCATCGTCGCGTCGGTTCGATCGATCCTTCGTCGCAGTGACGCGCATCAGTCTTCGCCGGCTAATATAATGTCTGTCTCACGCCGGCGGATTATGACGGTATCAATATTTTCGTCGGCGGACGCGCATCTCGCGCTCTCGGTTCGTCGACCCTCGCCTTTGGCGCTCCTCGTCCGGCGCTGATTGATCCGCGATGCGCGTGCGATTACGGAAGAAACGCACGCGCAGCGAGATCGCGTACACACGTATACACTTAGAAAGTGTTGCTGCGCGAACGTGGGCATTAGGCCCCTCCCCCCCCCGGCATGCTCACGGCTCGTCGGTCCCTAAATTCCCGCAATTGCATACTTTCTATTATTAGCCACGTGCGCGCGCGTGCCGCGCGATAAAAGCGCGCCTCACCGACGTGTCTTTCAGGCGTCAGATAATGTCACCCATTTCTATGCGGCCCGCGCGCTAACAAATCGGGATTCTAACGTTGTTTGGAAGATATCGAGCGAGCCTCGAGATTGCCAGGCAATAGACGCCGAGATAACGCGACAACAAGCTAGTGTATCTTTAAACGCTCTGGCGGAAGAATGCTTGCGCACGATTCAACCTACAAGGGGGAATTAATAACGAGACGGAACACGAGCGAGACGTGTAACGTGGCATTATCATGTAACGTTCGCACAATCGGCCCATGTCGGCGAGCAGCGAGAGCGACAGACGTCGTTTGCGGACTTTCGCGGATTGCATCATCGCGGACACTCTTCGCGGCACGGACGGCGCGCGTAAAACGCGTGTGTCGGGAAAAGGCGACAGGAGGAAGCTTGTCTCACGTCTTTCCGACCCCGAGCCCGAGTGTGTTTGCGCGTGCGTAACACGCGCGAGGAGACGCGAGCAAATTTGAGAAATTGCTCACGGGCTTTCGGTTTCTCCGGCTCGAGTAACGAAGCTCGCCTTGAAACTCCGGCTTAAACTCGCTCCGATCATAATGAAGTAACACAACCGATGCGTCCATTAAAAAGTTCCTCCGCGACTCCGCGAGGCATCGCGAGGAAAATTGAATAAAACGCGCCCGGACGCGGCCCGGGAGAAACGTATCGTGCTCGATCAACGTTGCGTCGCGAGCGCGCGACTTAACGACGAGGAAACAACGGGGGAAACTCAATTTAATGTAATTAAACGTAATTTGCCAGTAACATCTCTCGCGGTGGTCCTCGCGGTGTTATATCGCTTATGCCGCCGCGCATAAATTATATATCGCCAGGCCGCGCGCGTTGCGTTGCGCAGTCGTATAAAATAGCCAAGTGACGTTTAGCCACAATCGGCTATTGTTACCAATTTATTAACAACGGCAAACCTCACGCGCTATTGACGTTGGCGCATGTGCCGCGCCAATGGCCGCGACAATGGCGCGCGCGCGCCGGTCGGTGGCCGCACGAAAAGAAAGAGTGGTCGTTAATAGTAGCCAATTATCAAATGTCAATGATAACGGGGAATATCTCGTAGCTAAAGTGCAACGCCTGGCGGAATTATGCATCGTGCCGCACGTATAAATATGGGGTAACGCGTTCGCGATCGCGTTACCCCTGAGAATCGCGCGACCTCCGCGCGACCTCCGCGCGCTTTGCAAGCGTCGATCGAAGTTCGTCATTTCCGTCACCCGGCCGCTCGATCTCGCGCATTAAATAGTGCTTACAGCGTGACTGTATCAGCCGCGCGTTTATAACCGCTGCATTGTCGCGCTAATCACGGCCGCAGCCATGCCGGTTAATACAAATGAAACAACAGCGGCAGGTTTCTGCGCGCGATATCCGGAGGATTGAAACGAGGTGCGAAGGTGAAGCGAGGGCCGCGCGTGGGTTTTGCAGTTGGCGCGACTTTTGCGTCTTTTGCAAAAAAAACAAAAGAAGGGACTCCGCCGCGGAAATCAGGGCCAAGTGAGACGGACGACGTTGAGAGTGGAAGCGGATCCCGCAACGTCGGGCTCGATGGTGCACGAGCTATTTCTAAGTAAATTACAAGGTTGATCCTTCGTTCGGCGCGAGGAGAAATGTGCGAGTTGGTCGAGTCGAGACACGGCAGCTGATGGAAAAAAAGGTCCGTGCGTAGATCGCAATGGAACGGGGGGGAGGCCAAATAGGGCGCTTCCTCTCGGCGATAACTCCGACCGGTCGAAGTGTCGCGCTCTCGCGTTGTCACGCGAAGTCTATAAATTCGCAGCGAACGAGGCGTATTCGTTCTCGTTGCAGGCCGAGTATTTATTCAGAAAGAATCCCGAGGGAAGAATGTTCGAGCCGGATTACACGGAAACAATGAGCATGCTTCTGGATACCATCAGCCGGCAGCGGAACCATGTCCTGCCGGTGAAAGGACCGGACGTCGACGTGGCGCAATTCACCAGGAGGAGCCAGGACGAATTATCCGCCGCGGGAGAGACGGAAAAAAGCGAGGATGAGCGCAGAGAGACGAGTGCGATCTCGACTGCCGAACAGCCCTTCGAATACAACTGGACTGACGGCTCGGAGAAAGGGGAATTGGATTTCGCCGGGCGAGTAACCGAAGAATTCAGAAACGGAGTTTAATCGATGCGCGTCGCGAGTTAGTTTTCGTTTTTAACCCTCGTCACGCCCGGGATACAGTGCAAGCGGAGGAACGAGAGCGAGTGTTTCGGCGGACGTCCTGCGAAATTTTAAACACGCGAACCTTTATCGTGAAAATTCATCGAAAACTCCGCTATTCCTTTACTCCGCCGAATTAGTGTAACACACGCGTGTTAAACTAACCTTTATAAATCCATCACTGAGAGACTACGATTATTCCTAAAATAACGGACACTCGTTATAAATCTTCTTTGATATTCGATATCGCGTCTTCATACGCGATAACTTTGCCAACTTAACTGTAATGACGTTTTTTATAAGCGAGCACTATTTTTTTAACCCAATAAATCCGATGTCCATCCAGACGTGACATCGTCTTTAGACACGTGCAATGCGGACTAAATATAAGTCGACGTGCTTAAATATACCGACTTTTACTGCATATATTTTTCCTTTTAATTATAAATCACGTAATGGAGTGTTCAAGGGGCAGCATAAACATCGCAATTTCTCATCGATTTCTCGCGCTTGCGACGACAGACGGTATCGTTGAATTTCTTATTTTGACCTGAAACGTTCGTCCGATATGCAACACGTCCGATATGCGTCTCGCGAGCTAAACGATCGACGAGGCGACGCCGACGTCCACGATGAACGCACCCTTCCGGGCGTAAAATGAGATTTTAATAGCCGCGCGAAGCATACCTCGTTCGCAATTGCACATTTGTGGAGACGCGTTTGTCAAACACGTTCCAGCTCGATAAACTTCAACCACCCTTCCGATTCCCTCCTGTCCCCGACACACCGCAGCGAAGTCGCAAAGCGAAAATACGCGAAGAAAGCTTAATTAAGATGAAATCGTCCCTTGCGAGCGCCTATAAATCGTGCACATGCGAATCCCCGAGAGTGCTCAGTTGCAGAGCAAGTTTATAATCCTTGACCAGCAGGTGGGTATCGTGACTACGAAGGACTCCGCAACTTTAGTCGTTCTAAAAGTTGCTGTAAATATCAAGAACGCAACATGGGACGCTAAATTGATCGCCTTATGGAAATTAGATGGCGTAGCGCGGAAGGCTGCTGAGGTCACTCTGTGCGAGCAGAGAGACCTGCTGATGCGGAAAAGGCTTGATCTGATTACTAGGCCTGCTTTTGCAGAAATCACGTATGAAAATCAGGTTTTCTTTTCTCGGCGGAATTCCAGCAATCGGCATATCGGGATATCGCGTTATCGCTGAATCGCGAGAATATGCTGAGAAATCGCTCCGTCGAAATTGTGATCGGCCATCGACTATGCGGCGCTCCGCGAGGGGCCGGCTGAAATGATATCCCAAGCAGATTCGTCGGACCTGTCTGACAAGTCTGTCGCTGTTTGCTCAATTCCATCAGCAACTCCATCGTGACTCTTTCCAGGTCGCAACACCGGCCTGTCGACTTGCCACGGTTGACCGTTGCATTAACGCCAGCGATCCTAAATCGCACGAGTTCTCGCGCGACGGTACGCTCCAACGGCGCGGCGGCGCGCTGTTACCGCGATAAGAGAGAAAGTCCGAAATAACAGTCGGCCGCTTTGTTAAAAAGCACACCGCGCCGCGCCGCGCCGCGCCGATCGCCAGGCGAGTATCACGAACAATCGCGTGATTCGCTCGTTTAGCGTCGCACTTCGGTTTACGGATTAATCGTCGCGAGATCGTATGCGGCCACGCTGGCTAATTTACGGCTTAATCACGCGGCTGATAGGGGGTCGTCTCACGGCGACGACGAATGATGCATCGTATCCTCCGCCCTTTACGAAGAAGACACTCACACAGCGCAGACGAGTCCGCGCGATCCTCGCCCACCGATCCTGCCTGCGGTTCTCCGTGAGAGAGAGAGAGAGAGAGAGAGAGAGAGAGAGAGAGAGAGAGGGAGAGAGAGCGCGTGTTTAAACTTAGCCTCTCCCAAGGAAGATCGCAAGTTTCCTATCGAGCCGCCGTGTCCTCACGAGGCCAAGGGCAAGGATTCCATCCACATTGTGTTCGTATGTAGCAAGCTCAATACACTTCCAGGACGCTCCCGTGTTACTTTAGCACGACCGACAGACGTTTTCTCGCGGCAACGCACGCTTCACCTTGCGACATTAATACAAAAGCCCCGTGGCGCAAGGACGAGGGATTAATGCAACGTAAGGCTGATCCTTCTTGTCGTTATAATTGCCACCGCGCCCCGGAGTACACTGGAAGCCTCTCTGCGGCGATACCGATCTCATGAATAATTCGGACGCGCGAAATAAAGGGCGGTGGCAGAAGGTAGAAGAGCGAAAAGTGCGCGAGGCCCGGCGAAGAGGAGGACCTAGCCGGAAATCTCGTCGGTTAATTAGCCGACGAGCTGCTTATGGCTCTCGCGCGGCTTATAATTCCTGCGGCCTGATCGATTCGATAGCCAGCAGCCAGCCTACCGGCGGGAATTGGGTCAGCTTGTAGCAACCCGGTTTTAATCGACACAATGCGGCATCCCCGTATGGAAAACAGATCCGAGTCACAAAACGTTTCCCCCGGCTGAACGATCGACAGGCGATGTTCCGCCAGTCGCGCGCCAGCTGCCAATTTCCTCCGGCTGTATCAGCGTGCGGCTGCGGCCGGGCATCAAGTCGCCATGTTCTTTGTGAAACTTCATCGTGACCACTTATCGATTGTGACGATGTATAAATAGTGTGAAAAAGTCTCGGCTTTCGCACCGGAGGCGGCGTAGGCCGCGATCACACGCGAGTTGCGGCACCAGGTCGCCGACAAGAACGCGTCGGCGGAGCTTCGCTTCAACTTTTGAAGGCTTGACGCGCCTCGTGAGCGCGAATTGCAATTTATCGAGACGATAACGCGACCGAGACACAGAGACGTGGACTCGTGGACTGAGCCTCGAGAGAGGCTCTCACGTCGCTCGCTGTGAGCGGCTTTTGCTCTCTCCGTGCGAGCTCAGCCGTGCGAGTGTGCCTCGGCGACAACACTGTCGGTAAGCCGAATGCAAATCAAGCCGTTGTTAAGAAGAAGAGAGAAAAATGAAGAAAGACAAGGCGTTCAACGACACTCGCTCCGCGTGACGTCTTCGACTCGGGGCTGACGCCGCTCGAGGCGACGAATTGGCTCGTCGGTCAGTCCTCCGAAGAGTCTTCAAGGAGACAAGAAGCAACGAATAATTAACGCCTCACGACGTTATACATTCTACGAATCGCGAATTCACGGTTGAAATACCACGGCCGGTGTCTGCCGTTCGTTCGTCTCGGCGGGGATATCGCGGTAACCGAGAAGTCGATCGCCAAAGAACGGTGTCGGCGCGTACACGCGCAGCAGCAGCAGCAGCAGCAGCAGCAGCACCAGCAGCAGCACGGAAACACCCCGCGGGCGGTATATCTGTATCTCCAAACACCTGTTAGCAGTCTCGCTCTCGCGTGTGGGCGGCTCACCACATCGCCTTTAAAGCGGCGTCGCGAGTAGTCCGAATTCCTGCGCCGCCGGTTCGAGGTCGAAGGAGCGAGCGAATGAGAAAGAGACGGATACACGCACAGAGAGATAGAGAGACAGATAGATAGAGAGAGAGCGAGAGAGCGAGAGCGAGAGAGAGAGAGAGAGAGAGAGAGAGAGAGAGAGAGAGAGAGAGAGAGGAGAAACCGCGGCGGCCTTGATCACCGCTACCTGACACCGGGGAAAACGTACACTTGTCTTCCGCGAGACTTCGTCCAGGTGCGCGGGCCGCCCCCGCGCTCGCGCGCGCGTCCGACCTTGATTGTAAAAGTAAGAATGAAGCTTCGTGCGCTCTCTTACCGGTGTGGCCCTGCAGCGAGTAATTGGCCTCCTCGCTCGGCACAACGGTCTCCTCGAGGATGCTCTCCGACGCCGGCTTGACGATTCCCATCTCGTCGGCTGCGCGCCGGTCCCGGCTGCTGCTGACGGTCGTCGGCGACGGGGGATGCGTTTATGCGGCTGCGACACGGTCACCACCAGTCAGGTTCGCCGAGCTCTTCCCACGACGATTATCTCGTCTCGATTGTGCCGCGTTGTCTGGCGCTGCCGGAATGCTCGGCGCCGTTTCATCCACCTATTGCGTCTGCGTTCGCGCCTGCGTTCATCCCCCTCGCCGCTCGCCGCCCTTCATGACCGCGTCGTGCAAAACCTTTCTCTCTCTCTCTCTTTCTCTCTCGCTCTCCCTCTCTCCCTCCCACTCTCCTCTCTCTCTCTCTCTCTCTCTCTCTCTCTCTCTCTCTCTTTCTCTCGCTCTCTCGCTCTCTCTCTCTCTCTCTCTCCCTTCACCTTCTCGCCGCACGCTTCTCACCCTCGCAAAGTCGTCACACAGGAGCAAGGCTATTCCTCTAGGCCAGGGTGAGAGCAGTAGGCAGGAGAGAGAGATTGTGGCGTGTGGGGTAGCGGTAGTGACGGCGGTGGTGGCCTCTTTATGGCGTGGTGGGACGGCAGGGGTTGCCACCACCGCCACAGCTAGCTAGCTGTTGCTCGCGACGGCTGCTACGTATGTACGTACCAACCGGTGCTCCTGTGCCTGTGCCGCTACAAAGCGGGGTGCGGCGAGCGTACGGTACAGGGGCAATGTCGACCTACTCGGTCTCGGTGAAGGTCTCCGTTGGTTACTCGTGCCAGATAATGCTTCCCTCTCGCGCCTCGCTCTCATTGCGCCCTTCGGCCCCCATCCCCGCTGCCAGTCAGGTTCTCTCGCACTCACTCTCTCTCTCTCTCTCTTCTCCTATTCCCTTTGTTCCTCCTCAATCCTCTTCCTGCAAACGCTTCGTTCTGCCCGTCGAAACTTGTTCGCGGCCTACGTTTGGCTTCGGTTCGTCAATTCGTTGCTCATCCGGCGACTCTCTGTCTCTCTCCGTCAGTGTTGCTCTGTTCGCGCGATGGAGCAGCCAGAAGAGCGGCGAGAGCTCTTCCTTCTCGAACAGAATTTCCTTCTTGTGCGAGACGCTTATACGCTACCGCTCGCACCCAAAATCGTTCCGGACGGCAAGACGGGAGAAAAGCGGGCGCGCAAATATCTTGACAACGCTTTCGACTCGCGCACGGCTCTTCGAGGCAGCCCGCAGGCTCGTCGCAGCTCCATTTGCCGCCCTTGACATTTTTCTCACGAAGCGCGCGCAGTTAGCCGCGCGTGCATTAATCATCGCTGCAAGTGCGCTGCTCTACGCACGAATGTCCGCTCAAAATCGGGAATATTCGCGGCCGAACATTCGCAACACGTGCCTGCCCTTGAAGCCTCCGACGGTCAGCGCGCGCGAGGGTGCGACAAGCGATCGATCGTTCAATCACACCCTTCGCCGTGCGCTCCCGCCGGAGAGATCTTTGAATCCCGGCCCTTCGCTGATCCGCGTCACGCTGTCTTAAGCAGTCCGACGGAAAACCTTAACCTAACCTCCCCCCTCCCCCGCCCCGCCGCCAACTCTCATTGCCAAGGCAGTCCGGACTGGCCGGGTTGTTTGCGAGTGTGCGACACCTGCGTCATCGGGTGCCTCTTCCGCTTTATTGAGTGCGCCGCCTGATCGAGGCTAAAAGCTCGCCCTTCCGAAGGGAGACCTCGCTATAGGTCTCGTTATGCGACACGGACGGACAAACGGAGTCACGGATGTCTCAAGTTGCGCGGGCACGAGCTTTATCGTGCGCTTTTCGCGAGAGCGAATATGGCGGCTCTCATCCGGATTGAGGATTACAGAGGAAGATCGGAGCCCTCAGCAGCCACGCGCCATTACCTCTCAACGCGGATTAAATATTCGCACGGGCGCATTTCTCGCGCATCGACGTTAAATTACGCTGCTGTTGTGTGCATACGAAACAATGCGAATACAATAATGCGAATAAAATAACATTCGTTACACACGAGCGACGCCAGCGGCGGAAAGAAAACAATTTGTCAATTTTAATTGATTCGCCGCACGCGCGTGCACGCGCAAACGCGCAATAATACGTAAATAATCTGCTCCGTTCCGGCCGCATGACCCACAGCAAAACGACAAATTTAACCTGTCGAGTCATATTAATGCAAAAATTAATTTCCGCACGATAGCAAAGGCAATGATAATTATCTAATAAATATTAAACTGACGGGCGCGTGCGTCAATAAATATAGTACTGATTGTGGTATAACGGGAGTTGCCCCCCCCCCTCCCCCTCCCCGTACGCTCTCGGAAAATAACGCACGCGGAACCGCGTTCTCGAATTTCGCCGGCAAATTAGCGGTGAGTCGCGATCGACTCGCCGCGCCGGATGAAAACTCGCTGATTTGTCATCCCGATGAAGGATCAGGCCCTTTGTTTATTTGTCATTTAGCCGATTGCTTTCGCATCCACGCTCGCGCGCGTACAATCCCTCTTGAAATTCTTCCGCCAAGTATCGCGGCCAAGACTGGCGTGTCGAGCTGGCTGATCCCACAGTTGCGAGACACGCAACGCGCACGTTGCTCGCCGCGGAACTTGTTGCACACGACGCCGCGTCGCAAAGTACCGTTCGCGCTGTCGTCTTTTCGCACGGGGTCCCGCTAGCCTCGCGCAGATCTCTCATCGATTCACCTCTCTCGATTAATCCCGCTCGGCGAATAGGCACACACGTGGATCCGAGAGACTTGCTGGCAAGAGCGGAAACCTTCACGCGCGAACCTTCCCCGCCGAGCATCTTTAGCGGAACAGCCGCTAAAAGTCGGCGAGCGACGTCGCGATAGCGTCGCTCTATTCTTCAGGGAGCTACGCACAGCGAGATGTATCACACATTGCGCGGATAATTTTGTCTTCAATCTCGTTACCGCCGTTAATTAGTTCATTAATTTCAAGAGATACCGCGGTGAAAAGCTGCGGACACATTTTACGAAAATCCGCGATAATGCGCTTTATCTGTCGGACAAAGGGACATTGAAGATATAACACTTAAAGGGAACTGCGCGATTCGAATCGTCCACATTACTGCGCGAAGATCCGCTAAATTATACTCGAAACTTGCGGCTGCAATCGTGCGCGCTGTACAACGATGCGCTTGGCCAATCTTGTTGTCACGGTTGACCTATGAAAATGGCCCGAACTATGACACGCTTGAGATATGAGAGTGCGTCGCGCAATCGAGACAGGTTCTGTCGTCCATTTCGGCGAAGGTGGAAAGACACGCCGCAGGTAAAAAAGCTGCACACCTGGCATGGCGACCTGCGTTTTTCTATCGACTAGTTTCTTCCGAGTGCGTCGGCGCATTGGAAAAACGCAACAGCACAGTGAGAAAAATGTCTGAAATTAACAATCGGATATTTTTCTTCAATCACATGACACATCTCCGTGAGGAAGCTCGCCGAGTTTGGAGCGTGCATGCTTCGTTTCCATTTTTCTACACGCTGAATCGACAATAATAATTCCGAGAATTGAAATTGGTCCAGAAACGAATCGGGATAATTTCGTTCTCGCGTGAGAGATCGCGCCTCCTTCCTGTATCGATCTCCTCGGCATGAATACCGAAGTGTATCTCAGTCGACATTAATCGATTCAGTGTGATCTCCCGACGCGCGTGCGATAACAACAATGCACCAAAGTCCATAGCAAAGGTCGTAGGTCACGTCATGTGAATTATCTCTTTCCTCGTTCGGCCGACTTCAGATCTATAGCAGTCGCTCGCTCAAGCCCAGGGCCTGTGTACACCTCTTGTCACGCCAGTCACAATATCGATTTAACTTGTTGCATACGTAAACAGAGACAATCCGATGTCGCGCATGGCCGCCTCTAATGCAGTGAACGTTAAATTAGCAGGCAGCACGTTATCGAAATTGAAATTGCCGGGGTATCGGCCGGGGCTCGCGCGCCGTCGTTTACCCGCGGGGAGAAAATACAATAAAATGCGAAAATGCCACGTGCATGGTGGTGTAATTGCGTTTCGATGTAGCACGGAATAAGAAACAATTACGCACGTTCGAATTACGCCGGCGATCTCCATTTCGACGTCAGGGCAGGAGGGGGAGGGGGGAAGGCATAAATACACGCGCTCCGCGCAAACGATATTGCGCGCGAGAGCTGTACGAAGGTTGCAGCTAATTGTCGCATTACTGCACCTAAACGTCCAATTGTCGCAGCGATCTGTCTCGGCCTATTTGCCGGCGCGGAGTGTGTCTTGACTCACCTGGCTGTGTAATTGGATTGCGGATAATTAAATGCGACGAAGCATAAAGCGCCCGTCCCGATTGAATACTGCAGACTTGACGCTCGTTCCTTTCCGCTACAAAGCGTGAGAACACCTTTCCCGCGTGCCCCCTGCCGGACGGAGTGCAATGGCACATTATTGTCCCGCGATTGCGCTTTCTCAGATATTAAATCTCTTCTATCTGCGCACTTTCTTGCCGAAGCGAGCGAGACATCGCTCGCTCGTGGATACGGATAATCCCCCGCGAAACGCGCAGCTGCGATACATATTGAGAGACGTTCTCCTTCGTGCTCTATTTAATTATCGCAAAAGTGTCGAACGTGGGAGCATACGGCGCGCCGGTGTGTTTTTAATCGGATCACGGTCAAAGTGAAAGCACATTCGTTGGTGGTCTCTCTCTAGTCTAGGCGGTCTGCTCTGATTGCTGTGACAACGAAATTCAGAAGCTCGCGGCGGGACGGCGACCGTCCGGCGACGTTCGTAAATCTTGTTTTATTCCTTTCCCCTTTTCATCCTCATTTCATGCTCCCGGGAGAAATAGCGGACGCGCGCGTCAAGCTTCCGAACGATCAGAGGGAGTTGAATGAAACACAAGGAGTACAAAACTTTACACAAACTTTTATTATGACCGATATTTTACAACATGCGCCAGCACAGCTACGCGATTAGTTGGTGTTATGCGTGTGTGTGTGTGTGTGCATGTGTGTGTGTGTGTGTGTGTGTGTGTGCATGTGTGTGTGTGTGTGTAGTGTGTACGCATATGGAGGGTGCGATTGTGTGTGTGTTTACATCGTCGCTTAAAACATATACTATAATATATCCTCGTAGCATCTTAAATAGAGATGTAAGTTAGTAGGTGGTCATAGATTAAGTGAAATGAGATTTCAGCAGACGTACGTGGAATTTCCCTCCCGCCGCGTGTGGAGTCCCCTCTCAGCAGTGCGGGCAGCGAATCATACCGAAAACGTCGCACTTGGCGCACTTTAGGGCGACGAATTCCACCGTAAACTCGTTGCGGTGCACGGACCTTTTGCTGCCGTGACAGACGGGACACAAGAGCCGCTGGAATCCGCCGCAGTAGGTACAAACAACGCACGCATCCTTGCACTGAAACGTAAGCGTTTCGCAATGGTGAATTATTTAACTGCGTGTCGCAGAGCGAGGATCAGAGTGAGATGATTAAGCCGCCTCGGGCGTGTGCCACGGACGAAAATCTCCGTGGGACTTTCTCAACGTAGCGTCCGCGAAGCGCGTGAGAGAGAGAGAGAGAGAGAGAGAGAGAGAGAGGAGAGGAGGAGAGAGGAGAGAGAGAGAGAGAGAGAGAGCGTCGAGTCGTAATAAAAGCGAGGACCAGCCGCCGATCTACGTCTAACGACGTTGCGTCATTGCCGTATTCCGCTATTGCGTAAAACTTTTCGAAGCGAATTAAATAAATTCCGCGCGCGCGCGCACGACGACGACGACGACGATGTTCGCGAACGGGCCCGCCGCGCCGTTCAGCCTTATTCGGCGTTACGAAACTATAGTTTTCACTTTCACTTTTACTTGCTACTAACCGCGAGTCTGGTCTACCTGAAATGTAAATCGATTTTGTAGTCGCACGTAACGAGTTACGGGCGGAGGGTAGCTGCTGCTCTCTCTCTCTCTCTCTCTCTCTCTCTCTCTCTCTCTCTCTCTCTCTCTCTCTCTCTCTCTCTCTCTCTCTCTCTCTCTCTCTCTCTCTCTCTCTCTCTTTCTCTTTCTTTCTCCTTCTCTCTCTCTCGTGCCGACTATTTAGGCTCGTTTATTCCGATGTAACGCGAGAGACACGTTGTGCGCATTTGACCGACGTATGCGGAAATAAAAAGAGAAAATCGCGCAAGTCGCGCGCCCAAGTCGACGATGTAACGTACCGCTTCGACTCTTTCACTCGCTCGCTTGACTACGTGAATCCGGAGGTTCGGCAAAAAGTCGAAGGCCGACTCGAAATTCACGCTGTTGATGCACGTCTCGCGATTCAATCGTCGCAGGTGTTGATCACACGAGCATTTCGTATTCCCACGTTTTATCCAACGCAAGGAACGTTGAACGTTTGTGCAAAATATGCGCCGGTGGAATCGCACCGGGGAATGTTGACGTGATCTCAGGGAGCCTGTGTGTATGTGTGTGTGTGTGTGTGTGTGTGTGTAACAGCACCGTTAGCACACGACAAAAGCGACAATACATGGATGTAAACGACCTTTAGTTGCAGCAAGGTAAACCTGAACTGCGCGACACCGAATTTATGATCGCGATGGTGAAGAAGGCGGCGGTTAAAGCGAGAGAGAGAGAAAGAGAGAGAGAGAGAGAGAGAGAGAGAGAGAGAGAAAGAGAGACAGAGAGGGGGAGGTATGTATTTCCAGATAAAAGTGAAAGGACCGTACAACCTTGCGTTCACAACTACTTATATTGTGCGCACAAGCACGTTTTATCACACAGCCCGCCGTTCTATCTACCTTAGATAGTCGATTCCGCGCGAAACAAACGGGTCGCGAGCATGTAGCGCGATTATACGAATTATTCAATTCTTAATAATAGCCGCGGTAGTCTGAAACATCTTGATAATACACTTGCTGGATACGAGTAAACGTGTTAAATCCTGAACTCGAATATTATCGATTTATTCTCTCTTTTTTTTTTCCTTTCCGCGTTTCAAGAGAACCGGCTGCTCTTATTGGTCGCTCGTTAAAAGGTCGCTCGGAAATAAATTAATAACAATGAGCTTGGATATTGGAGTTTTAATTTGCCCGAAATTGGATTTCGCTGCAAGGCGCCTCCTATACAATTACGTAAGAATATTTTTTAATTAATTCGAATCTCACTGGAAAGAAACATCGCGAATAATCAGATTTCGATAATCCCGTCCAGTTTCAATATTAGGAAGTGGAGATTCTACACGATTCCTCTCGTCTCACTTGAGATACAAGTTTCTCAAGATGAATAAAAAATACGGACGGAAGTTATACGTGCGACTTTTCGACTTTGAGAGCGGCCTAAGTGATTATACCGACGTTTACGAAATCTTACGCGAATTTATGAGCTGATGCGTTACGACTTGCGATTATTAATACGTTCGCTACCAACATCACACATATGACGCGAACTCTTATTAGAGGTCAAGTGTCCAATTTAACAACAATATAAATGTTTAAAAGGCAAAAGGTAGAGACCTGCTTGAAACGTTTTCAGGACGTGTCTCTAAGACGTGCCTCAGATATTTGTACCGTGTTTCAGAGTGTTCGACGCTTTGACTATTAAAAATATAAATACAATTGTGACTATAGCGATTTTCAATTGAGGCGCGATAGCAAACGTATCAAGATAGCTATACCTTATCTGCACTATCGAAAAAGTTTAGTCCTATAAGGAGGAAAAGACGCAGACCTGTGTACGATATATAAACTACGCCTCCTTATAAGAGGTTTGAAGACAAGGCGTGAAGGACAGCTATATTCCCCTTCCATTGTCCACACAGGCATGTCTCTATCCTCGTCTAGCTTTCCCCGACAGGATTCAAACTAGACAAAGATCGCACGCCTGTGGCACTGATTATCCTTTCCAGATGAAGTCTTTGTGACTTCTGTGCGCACACATCTAGGGAAAAAATTCTCATGCTCTATCGGTTACCGGCGTAAGCTTTGATTGAAATTGCCTCTACTACGCACAAACGCTTAATGAAATGACGTCCCGATGCGATAATCCTCGTAACACCGCAAATCAGATAGATCCTCTCCCAACTTGTCTCTCTTTCAAACAATTTCTGACTTTTGAGCACTGTTGCTGCATCTTCATCGCTCAAGTTTTCTCACTTGTAATATTACGAGCTTTATAAATTACAAACTTTAGACGCTTACATCTCTATTGATATTTTTATGCATTGTCCGCACGTTAGTTTTTAATATAATATATCGATATTGGAAATAAAAATTGCGCCACCTTTGAGGAACACGTGCAAACATGCCTGCTTTCGTTGCAAATGTTTCAGCCCGCCAATGAGCTTTTTCTAATTACATCACCGTTTCAAAACTCATTACATGATGCAACTACCTAAAAAGTAATGACCGACCGTGGTTTTTGCGTGCGTTAACGGATCGCCCGACGGAATGAATTCTCGGCGCGCCAGTCGTATAACGTCGATGGGCAAACTGCGGCAATAAATTATTAATTACTTGCCGCTACGAAAATGGTACGTCCGTGTTAAGCATGACAGCTCGCGGGGCAAGGAGGATATTGGGGATACGCCACGATCTACGACGGTAAAATGAACTCACCTGGTAAGGTTCCAGTATACGGCGTAGCTCTCCCGACTCGTTAAGCCGCTCGACTGTGTCGACACCCTGTAACGAGTAAGAAAAAAAAAAATTGTGAAACGCAGGCATTTAATAGTACGACATTTAAACCGTTCGAGTTGTTCTCGACGCTTTCTTTCCGCCTCGCTCATTTCATCTATCAGCGCCCGCCCGACATCGGGCACACGCCATAAACGGAACTTCTCCGGTATGTCAGGCGCGTTAAAAAGTCGCAACGTGCTTATTTCTATCGGATAGAAAAAAATCGCGCGACACAACGATGTAACATTCTCGGTCTGTCGTGTCGTGGAATGCGGCTGTACGAAAGAATCTTATCTTGTTTCCTTCTTCTTCTTTGCGAATACACACGCACGCACACACGCACGCACGCGCGCACCGAGAGACTGGGCGCATCCGCCCGCGTAATGGCCGCGTCATGCATTTTCATGTCACCGTTAATGAGGCTCTTAATGAAGCACGCGATATCTCGTTTGTAGCTTTGACGCGTCTCTAATTTATTCAAGAGGGAAATGCGGCTCTTTCGTGCTCTTGAGCGGCTCAAAAGTGGCGTTTAGAGATGATTTAATTGCGCCATGACGTGTTCGATCGCAGAACGTCTCAAAGTCGAAGAGACGCGACTCGCGGGTTTCGTGAACGAGAGGGCTGCAAAACAACAGTCAACCCAAACAGTCGCTCGCTCGCTCGCTCGCTCGCTCGCCGAGACGCGCGCGCGTCAACTTTATACGTGATGTGACGTGATCCAAGTTTTGCTCCGCGATTGTAGTTTCGACCGGTGTACTCCTTTCACCACGCAATTTGTTAAGCTGTCAAACGCGCGACGATGCGCGAGAGCGAAAACAAGGTCGAGCAGGCCGGACGGGAGCCGGCGCGTCGGCAAGCGGCGAGGACACCTCGTCGATTTTCGGCAGCGGCCGGCTATTTTGTAGAAAATAATTGTATGACGCGGTGAGATAGGAATGCAGTTCGGGTAGGTTTGCGTGTGTACACTTGTGTGCTAGACACCAGCGACCGTAAGGCGCTGGTGTAACGCAGGCAATCTCACCTCGCGTTCTCTCCGGCGGCCTTGGATCAAATAGCTTGACATTTCACTTACGCATATATCTACTCTCCCGACTATCGGTCGCTGGAAGTAACTCTCGAGAAACGGATAACGCGACGGAGACGAGAAAATCAAATAGCAGCATGGCCGACTCCTTGAGAAAAAAAAAGTATACCGTTCGATGTACCATGCGCCTTTTTTATTGGGAAGGCTGACATTAGGTCGAGTCCAAGAAAAGAAAAAGAAGCACCCGAAGAAAGTTAATATCAAGGCTGCCCATGAGAAACATGCATATTTGTTAAAAGGGACGGAAGCGGGAGTCTCTAATTTGAAGTATTACCCGGAAACTACTGTAATCGAGCTGTCCTTTCTTGGGTTTTCCGTTGGATAAATCCGTTTCATTTTACGCTTCGTAAAAACTTTTTTCCACATGATAGACACCGCGCACATCTCGTAGCGGGGAATCGCACTGCCTGATTAATTTTTTCATCGCACATGTGTGCGATATTTACGATGCGAGTTTATCACAGTATACCGCTGAAATCGCTCGGAGAGCGTGTAAACACAATCAAAGCACATCATTACGAAGATCTTTACTGCGCTGTGGTAAAAACACGACACTTTACGAAGTATAAATCTCGTATGCGTCGAGTGACGGACGCGTGAGCTTCTATTACTTTTGTTCCAAATATTTCGTCCAATATACTTTCTTCACGCGCTGAATATAAATAATCCGCGTATAATATGTTTATATATATTCGGTATTGTCTGCGACTTAATGTCCGCCACTTGCTTCCACACGTTCCGACGACAATAGCGCAGGGGATGCAACGTGAGGAAAGCCGCGAAAGCCGACACTCTACTCTCGAGAATTGCATGCTGAAACAAAACACTTGGCTATCTTCGCCATCGTATTCCGTCACCGTACGTGAGAATACCGTCCACGAGATATGACAGAGATATTTCTTACGACAGAAATAGAAAATTTCTCATTCGATCGTGTTATTATCGACAGCTGTCGCGCTTCAAATGCTCGATCCAGTTAAATGCGAAAGCAATTTTTCTGTATGATGCAACGAGCAGCATCACACACCCAAGTGAGATATGTGTGCCGTTCTCTTTGATCGACTCGTCCGTTTGCGCCGTGTCACATATGCACGTCTGACACAATCCGACCCCTCAAAATTTCGTCCGTACTTTTATTCGCTCCTCGCTCGTCGTCCATCGACGCTTATCTTTGACATTTCGTGTCATCCATCTTCCCCGACTTTCTCGATGTCGAATATCCTCGATTACGTAACTCTCATGTCATCGGCCTCGTGCAAATTCTCCGCAAGGCGTAAGAGGATGAATTCGAGAGGAGCTGCTGGAGCGCACGTATGTGCTCCGTCACATCTCTCGCTAGAAATTATTACTATCCGCGAAGGAGGGAGATCGATATCGGCGCCAAGAACGAGACAACTTGGCTGACGAGTGTCAAGCGCAGACGTTCGCGGGACGTTTTCAACAGCAGCTGCTCACGTTTTATTATCTAACGTCTCGCATTATAAAGTGTGTGTGTCGACTACTATTGGAACGACGGAATATTCGCCGGGATCTATTCTTGGCCGATATCTTTCTCTTTCTCTCATTCGCCGCGACGTTTAGAAAAACATACCCCTATGTGCTGACCGTCGACGAAAAGCTGCGGTAATGTCACGACTTCCGAGTCGGTGCGATCCCTGAGTTCGGTCTGCAACTCCGTGTCGCGGAATAAGTCCGCTTCCTCATACTTGACCATGTTTGTCCATAGCATTTGCTTCATCTTCATGCAATTGGTAAAGGTCTCCCTAACGATGCCCAACGACGTCGTGTAAAGCACCACTCTACCCTTCTCCCTTTCTACGTAAACCTGAAACAGGACGTGATACGGTCAGCAAGGATCGTAACGAGTTCCGGGTAATCTCGTTCTGTCGAATGAAGCATAAATCCCGCCGCCTGGGACTTACGACGGCGTAATAACGGGACAATCATTTTTATATTCATTTTTATGTCCATGGCGTTTACGATCGTGTTGTCATCGATAAATTAACAGAGTTTCGAAATCGGACGTGATTTTTTTTTTCTTTTTATCGGACGATCGATTCTCGGATAAACACCGGGACGACAATTTCAGCGCGCGCGCGCGCACGAGTCCTCTTTATGGTTCAACGATTCAATCACAGGCCACGCGAACTCCGATTCTTGCTCACCAATGCGTGCATTCTCACCGGCTGTTCCCTTAATACAATCAATTTCATTGGCTCGTACATAAACGCCGAACTATATGCAGAGGATATCGCGTATGCCCGACAGGGGAAGCCGCAATTGCATTAATTTGCTGGCGAATATTCATTACAGGAACATGTAAATTCTCATTACGCTGCACATCTGCGCAATTAAATCTTTGCCGTGTGCAATATTATACGTTAGAATTATTCTCCCGCGCTCGGTCTACATTCTCATTATCCGTCCAGGATAATGCGGCGGCAGGACCGGCAATCAATTCTTCGTCGGAAGCGCTCTTCGGCGCTTTTGCATTATATGGAATATTCACAGTACTCGTCACATTTCGATCATCTCAATGAAAAAAAAAAGAAAAAAAGAAAAAAAAATTATTTCATGGAGGATTGACAGATTCCTGTCTGGCATCGCCTGGTCAACTAATGAGAAACCAGTCGTATTCGAAAGTGTTGTTAAAAATGTACTCCATCTCGCGATAAAACGTTACACGCGAGCGCTCGCGACAATCGCTTCTTCAGCAATCACAATTCGTAATTAACGAGAGATAATTTCCCGTTCGTAATCGTCACGGTACGTCCAAGTGCGTTTCGCCAGATCCTTTGCCTCTCGCGGCATCTAATATATTTTCCGGCTATAGCGCGCGGAGAGTGCGGCAATAAATCTGCAGGCAAGATGGACAAGGAGGAAGAAGAATTTATTATATTAAATTAGCTCTCTCACACACACCGAGCAAAGGTGATCAAATAATTCAATGTGCATGAAGTTCGTTCATAGCGCCATTCGTAACAACTTTTCGCGTATAAAACACTTTGCACGACTGCGGGCCGTTATTTAGAAATGCATGATTTGTAAAGGCGCATAAATATCTCAATGCGGTATACGGCTGAAACATATATCGCGATTATAAATTTCTCTCTTTATAACTGTAACCAATACGGATCTGTCAAACAAATTACACTACGCAAAAACCATCGTTCCTTTATTAACGTCATCGCCCTCGTAAAACTCCAGACTACTATTTACTGCGCCTGAAGCGTAACGCGTGTTGTTCCCTGAACGCTCGTTAAAACTCTTCTGTGGAGAAGAATTTTTAACTCCAAAATACATGGAAGATTTCGTGAAACTCTTCAGAAATTCGAAATGTCGAAAACGACATCACGATATCCCGCAAGAGCGACGTTGGAATTATATGTCTCTTCTTTTCCACAAAATTGTGAATGTATTTCTTATCGAAGCGTTGAAGCCTCTTTATATCGAAGCGTTGAAACCTCTTTTCCGCGATGTTGATTGGCCGTCTCGAAGTCGCGTTGCGGCCGGTTTCGTGTAATTTGCGGCTGTTATCGCGTGGAATGATAGCTAATAGTTTTTGTATCAGGGGATCTCTTTTAAAAAAGGTGCGTGAAACCTCGATCTCGAATATATCGAAGCGGGTGAAGAGAGAGAGAGAGAGAGAGAGAGAAGGAGAGACGGAGAGATAGGGAGAGATAGGGAGAGCCAGGGATAGACAGGGAGAGACAGGGAGAGACAGGGAGAGACAGCGAGAGACAGGGATAGACAGGGAGAGACTGGGAGAGACAGGGAGAGACAAGGAGAGACAGGGAGAGACAGAGAGAGACAGAGAGAGACAGGAAGAGACAGGAAGAGACAGGAAGAGACAGGAAGAGACAGGGAGAGACAGGGAGAGAGAGAGAGAGAGCGAGAGAAAGAGAGAGAGAGAGAGAGAGAGAGAGAGAGAGAGAGAGAGAGAGAGAGAGAGAGAGAGGGAGGGTAAGAGTTAAAGAGAAAGAAAGAGTGAGGGAAAGTGATAGAGTGATGGAGAAAGGGAGGAAGGTAGAGGGGGGAGAGGGGGAAGAAGTGAGGAGGAGGGAAAGAGGAGTCAGTCTATATACAGAAGCGTCTTGAATTCATCTTCAAATGCTTTTTAGCCAATAGAACGATGCATATAACATCTGAAGGTGAACTTGAGATGGTCTGGAATAGAAATGTTAAACGTCGAAATTCATTGGTTATACGGTTACGCGTTACTATGCAGAAAATATGTCATGAAATTTCAAACTGTATGCGCCTAATACATCGCATGTTGGAGGTGGATATTATTAAACTTATATTACACTATAGGGATTATTTTTATGACTTATAATATTTATTCTAAACTTTAATATGAATAAGCTAAAATGGCGCGCGCTTGTAGTGTTCTAGTAGTATTAAAAATATTTATAGAAGTAGCAAATTACAACAAGACAATACAATATCGCGTAATAAAAAAAAAGCAAAACTATATGTAATATTTTACGCGAAATACGTGGTCGTATTTCTGGTCCAAGAGATGACGAGAAGTTTGTTGCAATTTTCGCAACGTGTGTCTGCTCCGTGTTTCGCTCACGGACCAACAAAATTGAAGTCGACGGTATGACGATTCCGCGTTCAACAATCACGTTCGATGGGCATTATGGATCACCACGTGCTCACTCTGCCGCGACGCGACTGCTAATGAATATACTCGAGCGGGGAAACCGGACCCGTTGTACCAGGTGCATGATCCGCACGATAAAAGCACACTATCATTGTGGCGGTATGTACGGTAAGATCTCGGCTAATCGCTTCTAACCATTATCTTTTTGCTAACCCACTTGCTCGTACCGATACCCGTTACCCTACGCAAATGACACGTATAGCGATTGCCCTCGATCATAATTACATGCCATTCTGGAATGGGCAGAGCCGCCTGCCGACACGGCTGCGCAAGCGAACCGGATGACCTAACGAAGTGCCAAGCATCGCGTCATAAACTATAAACTGGCGGCGAGTGAATTTTTCTGTCCACGCGTGTATTATGCGTTCCGCCAGTCCCTCTCGACTCTCGCCTCCCATTAATCGGGGACCTCATCGTTGCCGGGGAATGTCTGTTTGGCAAACTATTAATTCCGCATGATGATATTATTATCGCGCGGGGAAATTGCGCCTTCGCTGGTATCGCGATTCATTGTGCCAATAATTACGTCGTTGAGTAAAATGAGCTACATCGAGCGCTAAGCGCGACACGTGCAAGTCTTGAGCGCAGCTCTCAAGAATCCTTAATGCGAGTTGTTTGAAAAATGAAGGCGGGAATCGCGGCGACACCTCGACTCTCGACGTGTCCTGCCCGGCGACGGCTATTAATTTCGCTGCGCTGGGTTTTGCGGTATGCGTGAAAAAATTTGACAAGGTCGTCCATTTCCATGCTCGCCCGACGTCGAGCGGTCGAGAAGTAGGTCTACGTTATTTGTTTCTTCCACGGCCGTGTGTATCGCGCGGCGCGTATGAGACTTCGACGATTATTGTGGTCGATTTCGTCCGGTAATCCAGAGTTTCACTCCGGTAATAATAAACTTGTTACGGAGACGAGATTAATTGCGTCGACTGTGACAAGTGAGTTATCCGTCCGATGAACGCGAGCGTCGCAGGAGGAGTGCATGGACCTCTCAGGTATGATCGTCGAGAGAGAGAGAGAGAGGGGAGGGGCAAGAGGGAGAGACGCTTGCAAGAAAATAATTTATCCGTCACGCTGTTTCTTATGATGGAACGTGCGTGAAAAGCGGGCGCGGGTCATACGACGTGAATAATTTTTTGTGCGTCGCGACGATTCTACACAATGTTACCCTCCGTGGATCTTACGATCCAATAGGGATCTCCTCCGGCAACGGCGAGACAATAAAGGATACGTTATACAAGCGTGTTTGAAAACCCCGTCGCGTAGAATATCGAAACGCATGTGCGATGAAACGTGTATGAAGATCGAATTGATCACGAGAAAGAATCGTCACGAGAGCGCAATGAAATTTCAGCGGAATGCCTTTCTTATCCGGGTCTTCGCACGACGTTTTTCCCTCTGCGATTGCGACCTCCACGTTGCGACCCTCTTGATTCGACGTACGCTCGCGAGGGCGCTTGCTCTCGCCGATCGAGAACAAACTTGACGGATCTTCCCGGCGATTTAGTAACGTCAGTTTTGTTTCGCCAGGTTAACAAGTCGTCCGAATGCCCGTGACGAATGACCACGCGCTTTCAAGTTTCAATTTGGCCGCGGCAGCAATTCGCGAACTGTGTATCGGAGCCGCCGGTGATAATCGCATGACTAATGAAACGTACAACTTAGCGCTCGTAATAATCACACATATAGCCGGCGCATGAAGTTTAATGGGGTTTCAGTTTCGCGGCGCTATAACGTAGCGTCGCTCGCCTACTGCGTGCTCAAATAGCTAATTTCACAAGCGCTTAATGAAAGCTGCACCTGGCCGTATGTGTTACATGCGAAACGACGGCGCGCTTTGAATCGGCGATTAATTGAGGTGGAATGACTTTGGCTGTGTAACACGCAGACAAATCGAGGCAGCTCGAAGACGATTTCTCCGTAACTGGGATAATGTTACGAGAGATCGGGTCGCCCACTGACCGGAATTTAGTTGAGTGTTGAGATTTCTTGCGATAAACGCAGGCCGCCGCGAGGAATCAACTCCCCCCGACTGCGTCGTTGATACCTGCAAACTTGCGCGTCGCGCGCTCTGGGAGGTGTTTATCGGATATCGGCTGAGTAGTCGAACGAGCATAAAATTCAATTAACGCACTTGCCAGCGGCACGTCGAAGCTGCA